CAGGGGGTGAGTCGGCGGCGTCGGCGCGGTGCCCTGCATGGCCGAGTTTGCCACAAACGGGCCAGCCTGCGGAGCTGCTGCAGCTGGCACTCCTACCCATCTCCGCCCCCGTCTACGAGGAAGCGTGACACAGTGAAAGCATGAACGCGGAAGCCCTCCACAACAGGCCCCCGCAGGCTCAATTGCCCCACCGTCAAAAGTACACATTTTTCTTTTCTAAGTATTCGAAAGTTCTGTGGTTTTTGGGGGGCAAGATCCTTTCATTTCTCATTGTTCTATCTTGGGCCTCTTCCTGGCTACTAGGGGGCCAGGAACAGCTAGAAACCAGCACGCTCAGAAATGAACACGATTAGACATGAACGACTTGTACGCAGGGCTCGAGCGGGGGGCCCGGCAGCAGATGGTCGAAAGCAGGCACGTCCCAGCCGTTTGGACCCCCGCCCACAGAGGCTTGGCCGCAGCGGCTGCGTCGGCGGATCCTGGGCGCCTCCAGCGGCAGGGCCGCCCGGCATGCCGACGCGGAGGCAGAGCAGGCGATTATCACGCACCCGAGGGTTACAGCGGGCCTGTCTTCGGGGGCGGCAAGAAAGGGGGTGGTGACCAGGGGGGGGGCATCATGGCGGGCGGGGGCCATGATATCTCCCCGGATTTCATGGCGCCTCTTCTTATTTCATTACGTCCCTGGCCCCCCCGCTGGGCCGCGCACATGCCGCCGGTCATGATTTGCACCCCCCCCCTCTTGGACACCCCCCTCTTGGCCGCTCCCGATGTCCCTCCACAGGAGGAAGAATCAAGAATAGTCAAAAAATGATCTGGGAACGATTTTCGGACCATCTTTGACCATTTGGGGGTATTGTTGTTTGACTATTTATCATTTCTCGCCCAAAATCCTCCTGCAGGGGGACAGGCCCCACCTAACCCCTAGGGTTTCCCAGAATGATTGGAACGCGCTCCAGAGGTCGACTGGGGAGCTCAAAGCGGCGGCACGATGCATCGCGGCCGCGTTGCCGCGTTTCCCCTCTGGGATCTCCGTGGGCGCCCCCCGCGCAGGGCCCGTCCCAGTAACTAGTGTGTTTTGAACAAGCTGAGGGCTGGCAAACGCGGGAAGAACGGCTGTGGGGACATCGATGCGCCAGTTGCCTCAAGTTTTACGTTGGCGACAAAAGGTGCCAGATCAGAGGCACGTGGTGAAGGTTTCCCGCAGATGGTATCCGATCTTCTGCTGACGCCGTCTCCCGAGCATGGTCATGGGTTGGCCGGCACGCAGGTTAGAGCTCTCCCCAAAGTTTTGATGTCATGCTTGTCGTACGGGTAAGCTACTGTCTCGCTGTACTCGTCCGAAGTCGGATAGCGTAGCAGAGTTGGTTCCATTTCTTTGAGGAGGTTGAGGGGGTAGAGCCGGTTGCCGTTGTTGACGGCCTCGAGGGAGAACCTCGGCGACCGTTTTTAGGGAGCGGACCCTCCCGGCAGAGCAGTAGCACTGCACCAGAACGCATGCAATTCCAAAGGCACGTCAAGAATGTGTGCCCCCGACGTTGGTGGTCCCGTTTATTGTTGTGATCCCCGTTGTGGTCATGGATTTTCCCTCCCGGGTTGCATGGTTGAGGAGGTTGAGGGCTTCCGCCCCGAACCCGACCTTCCTGTCTCCTGTGCGCAGCCTGAGGCTCCGCTCGCGCAGGCCGAGGCGAGAGCACACATGTCAAGGCGCCTCGGCTGCGGCAGACGCCCGCGCCAGCACGACCGCCGGCAGGCCTCGATGCCCTCCGAGCCAGGGCTGCGGCGAAGGAGGATCAGGCAAAGGCCGAGCGGTCGTCACAGACACGTTTAGGCTTCGGTCAAAAGTACCCTCCTCCTCCTCCTCCTCCTCTTCCCCTCCTCCTTTTCCTCCCCCCCCCTCCTCCCCTCCTCCTCCTCCTCCTCCTCCTCCTCCTCCTCCTCCTCCTCCTCCTTCTCCTCCTCCTCCTCCTCCTCCTCCTCCTCCTCCTATTCCTCCTCATCCTCCTCCTCCTCATCATCTTCGGACTCAAGAGTCGGACTGGGACTCGGACTCGGACTCAGAACGAGTGTACGCAGGGCTTTCCTATGATGTCGTGCCGTTCTCCGTGTCCGCGTATGCCATGGGCTCGTGTCCCCCCCTGACGGTCCCCCTCAATACTGCGCCCTGCACCCGCGCGCGTCCAAGAGTTGCTCAAGGCACGGGGGTCATTGCAAATGAGGGTCAGTCAGAGCGCCGGATTTTTCAGGATCTTGGAGGGCCAGTGCATTGACCTGGGCTGGGGTGCAGGATCCTGAAGGATCTTGCAGGATGTCGCAGGATCTTGCAAGGCCTGATTAACCCGGGTCAGTAGATACCCGAAACGAGTCTGGAAGGTTTTCGCCGTTTCCATGCCTTCGAGGCCCTCCACGGGCCCCAGGATCGTCAGAAAACAATTCAGGATGGAGATTTCGTTTTGGGGGAAGGCACCAGGTTCCAGGACCCGTTTCCCTCGGGACCCGTTTCACCCATGCTAGAAGAGGGTGGTGGGAATCACAACAGGCACGCCAAATTAGCAGTTCGCCTGTCAACGGGTCCCGCACCATGTCTCCTGATGGGGCCGCAGCGCTCTGGGGCATCTTGCGAAGCTTAGACTCGACGAAGCATGTGCCCCTGGATTTCTTGTAGGCAAGATTTTTCATCGCATATGCCAGCTGTAGGGGGGCATGTTCGTCTGTCCTTGGAGAGTATCTCGTCTCGGGATGCTTTCCAACAGCCGCGACCCGTCGAAAGGTCGCCAGGGGGTGCCAAGATCGTTCTGGAACGGTCGCCAGAGGCCCGAGCTACGACGGGCGAACCATCAGGCGTCAAAGAGGGGGGTGAGGACTAGGGAGGGGGGAGATCATGGTCGGTGCCATGATCTGTGCCAGAGGTCATAGTTAATCGCATTAGAATTCTGATTCGTAATATTATTATTTCTATTTGTTTGATTACTGTTGTTAGTATGATGATCGTCATATCATGCTTATTATCAGTACTCTCCTTCATTCAACACGCCCCCTGGTCCCCCCTCGTCCGCGCACGTGCATCGGGTCATTAGTGTCATGCGCACCCTGCCCCCCGCTCTGCCTGGCCCCCCTCGGCGGCGATCCCGAGAAGGGCGGCGGAAGAAGAGGCCAGGCGTCCACACGTGGGGGGATCGGGGTTTCGGGAGTCGGCCGTGCAGCTTGCCGGCCGTCGGCCCCCACACGACTGCGCATCATGTCTGCGCAGCGCGGGCCCCAGACAGTGAGCTCTGGCACGGGGGATGTGCAGGTTCTGTGATGGAAGCTGTGTGGTGCGGGCTGTGTTGTGCAAGCTGATCGCTTGGTGTAAGCTGCGCGGCCACCCAGCGCAGGGGGCGCCCACGAGGCCGCCACGCCCGGGCCCCCACCGAGCGCCGTGCGCAACCTCGGCAGACCCACCCCGCGCAAGAGGCGCCCACAGGGCGCCCACGACTGGGTACTCCAGATTTCGTGACAAAAGGGAGGGGGGTCTCATTTCGGGGGGGGTCTCTTCCAGGCTATCTTGGAGGGCCTGGGGGGGTCTGGGGACGATGTTTTGGAGGGTTCTCCCACGGGGGAGGTCTGAAATGGCTCGTCTTGGAGGGTCCAGACCCGCTCCCTTTTATTCCGAAATCTGGAGTACTCCAGATTTCGTGATAAAAGGGAGGGGGTCACAACCCTCTCAGACGAGAAGTTTTGGGCCCCCCCAGACCATCCACGAAAGAGCGGCCCTTTGCCCAGACCCCCCCCCCCGAACCCTCAAGACAGCTCAAATCAGACCCCCCCCCCAAATGTGACCCCCACCACTTTATTGTGGCATCTGGAGAGCGGGAGGCGGTACCAGCCAGGCACCGGGCGAAACCGCGGCAAACCCGCCCACAATTGGGTACGGCAGGCGGCGGTACCAACTGGGCACCAGGCGAAACCGCGGCAAACCCAGCGAGTTCCTTGGGTGATCGAAGTAGGAGCCCCTAGGGGCAAGCACCGTTTGGGGACTGAATGTTTCCAGTCGCCCTGGGATACGCGTCCCCGATGGCAGAACACATTGTGTTGCGTATACCGTTCTTCGCCCGCTAAGGGGTGCGTCGACCACCCGCGTGTACTGTGCATCCAGTGCGGGGCGTTTGGGTGTTGCGCGCCTGAGCCCAGCCGTGTCTCTCTCCAGCAGGTCCGAGGCCCCCCGGGAGGCCGAAGGCCACGCCTCTCAGGGCTGCTCGCGGGCTGGTTCGATCCAGCCCGACTTTGAAGGATTTGATTCCGAGGTCGATCCGATCCGACCCGACCCGCGGTCCCAAACGATCCGATTCCGATCCGATGCCGCAACAACTCCGTCGCGATCCGATCCGTGTCCCGTCCGACCCGGCTTCGCGATTCGATCCGGTTCAGTCTTGTCTCTCATTGGGAGGGTGCCCGGTTGGTTCTCGAGGGGATTTGGGAGGCGCTGTCGTCTTCGAATTTCCGCTTCCGCAGCCGTCTATGATCAGGCCCGTCCAGGCTCAGAGCACGCACGCGGTCCTTGCACCCAGAGGTCAGAGACTAGCCGCCCTACCCTCGGCAGGTTCGTGTCGTGTCGGCGGCAGTGGCGACCCGCGGGCGATCAGGTGTGGACGTTGCCAGTGGCCCAGAGTCGACCTATTTCGAACGATACGCGTTACCAGAGAGCTCTTCGCCTGACTCTCGATCGACCTCTGCGTGTTTATGGTCGCGCCGCCGCGCCATTTTGGCTGCGCTTACTTACTGGTCGCCACCGAGAGTTCCAACGCAACCAGGTTTGGGAGTATCGGTTCTGGCTTTCTGAGTGGCTGCTCGCTCGCTCGCTTCGCTTGCCTTTCTTCTCCTGCTGCCTAGTCGCGGCCCGACTACTGTTCGGACGGCTTTCGACCCGTCTCGCGAGCCTGTTGACCAGAAATGTTACCAGAGAGCCGCCATTGTCAGAAACAAAGCCGACACGGAGCGAACCTGCCGCACGCATGCACGCGGCCATGGCGGAGGAGGACACCCAGCAGAACGTTCTGCATTTTGTATTGCCCGTCCTGGCCGTGATCGTGACCCTGGCAGCTCCGTTTATCACAGTTTCGGCCTTGGGCCGAGGGCCTGTTATCGAGGAGCTGAAGGCTGCGGCAGGGCGACGGCTGTCGCTCCTCTCCCTGGGAATCACATTGTTGTCACCCGTGTTCTTCATTTCGGGCTACGACCAGACAGCATTGTTTCAATATTCGACATATTCGATGTTGTTGTCGCAAGCGAATATCATAGCCGATCGATTGGGCAAACGCCGCCTACTGCCGCCGTTGCTTGCCTGGCACTGCGTCAATCTGCTGAACCTCATCGGCGGAAACTTCAGCAGCCTGCTCCAAATCTACAGCACCGGCAGTGCGGGGCTAATCATGACCGTCTTCGGCATCTCCCAGAGGGCTGGCGGCGACTGTGCAGACGGCTCCCCCCTCCACGGCGCAACTGTGGACTACTGCTCCGACGGCTGGATCGCCGTGCAGCTGCTTGCGGGCTTCCTCTACGTGCTCCTCCACGTGCTCGCCTTCTTCACCGTGGCCCTGCGCGCCGTCGGGCTCTACGGCGGCGAGGACGAGGCGCCCGTGGATGGCGTGTTCCGCGAGCGCGAGGCACCACAGCCACTGCTGGGCTAGCGCCATCGCGTCGCAGGCGGACGGGGGCCCCCAGGCTCGGAGCTGCGCCACTCCGGGCTCGGCAGGGGCTCCAAGGCTTCGAGGCTCAAGGCTCCCGGGCGCCCTCGTCGGCTCCAGGTGTCCGGCCTCGAGGAGGCGCTTCGGCAGCCGCGCCTCTCGCCGGGAGCGCTCCCGGGGGGGGGGGGGGGCGGCTCATCCCGAACGGTCGGTGGAGAGCCGAGTCATGGCCCGACAGCCGGCGGCAACGACACGCTCGCGCCCAGGCCTGGGTCGGGCCGACCGGCCCGAGTTTTTTTTTTTGTTTTGTTGTTGTTTTTTGTGTTCGCTCCGTGTGCGGCATTCCTCGCGGTGGCGCGAGGGCCGCATGCGGGGGCGCTCCAGAAGAGGCCCCCCGGCGATCCGCATCCTTCGAGCAGGGGATCGGCTGCAGGATTGATGCACCCTAAGATCGAACCCCATGCCCCCGAGAATAAACCCTAAGGGATGATAAAGTTCGGGGTTTTCGGGGGGGATAATAAAAGTTGCCCGCCAGAGCCAGCATAAAGAGATATCAAGCTGCCAGAGAGAGAAGGAAATCCAAAGAACATGCAAGTATATATATAGGAAAGGAAGAAGAGCAGGAGGAGGAGAGAGGAGCGGAGAAGGAAGAAGCGAACATCCAAAGTTCAAAACTTATTATATTTAAATTGTAAACGCTTAATGGAAATTCAGGTTTCCATCTGCTCGCTCTGCCTGGTTCCCCCAGGATAATCAACCACAGCGATAAACAAGTTCAGGGGGCAGGGAGACAAGAAGAAAAAGAAATAGAAAGAGAGAGAGATAAAGAAATAAGAAAAGAAAGAGCAGAAGGATGAGAAGGAGGAAGAGCAGGGGAAGCAGAGGAAGAGGAAGAAGCAAAAATCCAAAGTTCAAAACTTATTTGATTTAATTTGTAAACGATTAATGAAAATTAAAATTTGCATCTGCTCGTGTAGGGTAGCTCATGTGCTTAGTTTTCCCAGGATAATCAACCCCAGCGATAAACAAGTTCAGGGGGGCAGGGAGACAAGAAGAAAAAGAAATAGAAAGAGAGAGATAAATAAAAAAGAAAAGAAAGAGCAGAAGGATGAGAAGGAGCACGAGAAGCATGAGAAGGAAGTAACCTCGATGGCGAACTTTCCCAGTGATAATGAAGTTCGGCCTCCGCGCCCCCGCGCCCCCGACCAAACTCTGATTGGTCGATGATAAAAAACTCTAACGACTTCAGGGGGGGTACATCATTATCGTGGGCATGGGGTTATTCTCTCGGCGAATCTACTAGGGAATACTCAGAATGCTCCATAGATGCACTGAAGTTACTCGCATTTGTCGCACATCCGATGGGACAAATCAACTCTGGGGTACATCCATGCTGAAGTCGATCTCCAACGCGAATCCTGAAAGGCGTGCAGAGCCAGAGGCACCACCGAGGACCCATCTGGGGTGGGGGGGGTGCGGGGGAGACGACCCCTGGGCGGTGGCACGCCCGAGCGTCACCCCGTGCAGGACGGCGCTCCGGCGTGCCGCCGCCCCGTAGTCGCCCCCCCCCGCCCCGATGGGTCTTCGGTGGCCGTGGCCACTGCTTCTCGTCTGACCCTTCCCGGCAGCACCGCCCGGCGCCCAGAGGAGGGAGAGGATCGAGGATGATCGGGGGAGCGTAAGACCCGGGTTTGCCGGGACTCGGGTTCGCCATCGTTTTTTGACGACCGCGCCTCGGATTTTGACGAGGAGGAGTTTTGTGGGATGTCTGCAGCGGGAGGCCTCGTCAAAATGCAGGCTCGGCCTCGTCATTTTTTTGACGACCTCGTCGGGGATTTCCGAGTCCCCCGTACCCGGGTCTTACGTCTCCCCGAGATGAGAGGACCCCGGGAACCACGACTCTGCCAGCCAGGAGTTTGTCCCAGGAAGAAGGTCGGTGGGTGGAGAGTCGGCCCACGGCCGCAGTTGCTCACGGGTGCGCCAAAGGGAGGAGGAGGAGGAGGAGGAGGAGGAGGAGGTGGAGGTGGAGGTGGAGGTGGAGGAGGAGGAGGAGGAGGAGGAGGAGGAGGAGGAGGGAGGAGGAGAGAGGAGGAGGAGGAGGAGGTGGAGGAGGTGGAGGTGGAGGAGGTGGAGGAGGAGGAGGACGGAGGGAGATTGCAGTACAGTCGCTGGGGCGCGTTTTGGGATCGCTGCTGCTGCTGCTGCTGCTGCTGCTGCTGCTGCTGCTGCTGCTGCTGCTGCTGCTGCTGCCTGCTCCCAGGACCCAGAGCCACAGCCCCCAGAAACGTTGGAGGACCCCTATCCCCCCGCACCCATTGGGAGAACGAAGAAGTAAATGAACCATCGAAACTCGCATCCCTCCTCATCCCCTCGCCTCCTTGCCCCCTCTGGGCCGGAGGAAAGGGGGGGATTAGGCAAGCAGGGCGTGCGAAATCCGCTGCGTGCAGCTGCTTTGGGCCCCCGCTGCCCGGCAACAAATCTTCGATACACGGCCGCTCCCAGCGCCTGGAAGCGTCGGGAAGACCGGTCGCGTGCGGCCGATTCGCTGCCCCCCCCATGTGCTCTCCTCGCCCGTTTGTCCGACCTGAACCTTGGGATCAATATCGTTGAACCGACCCCCATCCCCATCCTCATCCCCTTTAATACTCCCACCAAGTTACCACCCGAGTCGGGGATACACCCCTCGAAACCCGAAGGGAACGGCCTATATCCCCATCTAGGGGGTGTAAATCAGCCAGTGGGGCCCAGGCCACGCCGCTGGGGACCGGGATCGGTTAAACGATGCTCATGGGAGGTTCGGAGGCTGCCCTGTTGCCTGGCTGCTTTGGATGAGGAGAGGGGTTGCGGGTGGACTGCACGCAAGAGCAACCCTTCGCCGGAGTGACCTCTGGTGCGGGCCCATGACGAGGGCAACGATAGGGGGGAAAGGCATAGAGGAGGAAAAGGATGAGGATAAGGAGGAGGAGGAGGAGGAGGAGGAGAAGGAGGAGGAGTGGGGATGCATCGACCCCCAATCGCCCATTGATCGCCGACTCTGGCCCAAGAGCCCCATTCCGCCCAGGAAGGTGCGGTTTAGCTCTCGGGGGCCCACCGCCGATCTATCGACGAGGTATCGCCGAGTCCAGGTCGACGCCTACCCCCGACATGCCAGTACCCCCTCCATCGCTGCCCCTCACCATTGGGGGCCCCCCGCCGATCGCCGAACGCGATGCAATGATAGCGTCTGGCGCGCTTGGGTGGGCTCGGCCTCCCCGCGGCCCCGTCCCCCCCCCCGAAAGCCGCGAAGCCAGAGGTCGCTCCTGCCGGGGTCCGGAGGCGCCGCCAGCCCAACACCCGCACCGCTTCTTGGCAGGGCTCGAGCTGAACGGTGTTCTGGCAATTTCGTGGGCCGTTTTCGTTTTGACTTCGTTCTGCAGCAAGTGTGGAACGAAGACAAAGCTAGGGATGACGAAAACAGAACGAAAACGGAAAACGCTGTTTGACTCGAGCCGTGCTGCTTGGCCCTGCCCGCCCCGGGTCCAGGATCGGTGCAAGGTGTGCCTCCCTGCCCGAGGCGGGTGGGCGCAGGCACCGGTCAAGGGGCCAGGGCGGGCCTGGCCAGGATCGGTGTGGGAGGAGGAGGAAGAGGAGGAGGAGGAGGAGGAGGAGGAGGAGGAGGAGGAGGAGGAGGAGGAGTAGGAGGAGGAGGAGAGGAGGAGGAGGAGGAGGAGGAGGAGGAGAGGAGGAGGAGGAGGATGGGGAGGAGAGGAGGAGGACAGTCAATGGGGAGAAACAGCCACCCAGACCCCGACAACTGGCGTTTGCTGAGCGGCCCTGGGCGTTTCCTGAACAGCCCTGGCCCCGTCGATTCCTTCCCTGGGTGCGTTTACGAAACGTCTTCGGTTGTCGGGGTGCTCGTTACGGGGGTGGATTTTCTGCCCCCCATCTTGCGCGTAGCCGAGGGGGCCAGACCTCGTTTTAGAAAGGCCTGCGCAGGCTGTCCTCGTCTGCGGGCCTGCCGCGCGAAGGCGCGGCGGCCCCAGCGCCCTTCAGCACTCTTGCCCCGACCCCAGCTTGCCCTCGCGGCTCCCCTGCGGCGGCAGGGGACGCCCAGCGAAGGGTTGCTTTGGATCAGTTTCGGCTATACGTAGACGTGACCCTTCGCCGGAGGGACCGTTCAGAAGGGCCCATCGGGGCCCCCCGATCGCCGAACGCGAAGCGGTAGCAGCGGCTCGCGCGGCCGGGTTTGGCCAGCCCGCGACCCTCGTTACGCCTCGCACCAAATGCCATTCATACCTAGGGTCACTCTTGCGTGTAGCCAACATTTTCCAGCCCTGTCGTGCTCGGCGCACACCGCGGCTTCAAGAGGCGCACCTTGCCACGTCCCCATGTTCCGACCGCGCCCATTCTTGATGCTCTTGTTGTTGTTCCTACCCTCCATCCCCAGCCCCCTCGTATTCTCCTCCACCCTTCTCCCCCCTCTCCACCCTCCACCACCCTCCTCCCACCATTCTCCCCACCACCCCTCCCTCTCTTCCCCCCCTCCCCCTCCTCTTCCCCTCCTCCCCCCCGTGACCACAGACGCGCAGCGCAAGGCCGAGTCGCATTCTTATCATTACTCATCGTCCTCTCCTCCTCATCCTCCTGCCCCCCTCCTCCCCCTCCTCATCTTTCCCCTCCCCACCTCCTGCCCCCCTCCCCTCCTCCTGCCCCCCCTCCTGCCCCCCTCCTCCCCCTCCTCATCCTCCTGCCCCCCTCCTCCTGCCCCCCTCCTCTCCTCCTTGCCACCCCTCCGCTCCGGCCCCCCCTCCTCCCCTGCCCCCTCCTCCCTCCTCCTCATCCTCTTGCCCCCCCTCTCCTCGCCCCTCTCCTCTCTCCTGCCCCCCGCCTGCCCCCCTCCTCCCCCTCCTCATCTCTCTTGCCCCCGCCTGCCCCCCCCCCTCCCCTCTCATCCTCAGGCCACCTGATCCCCCCTCCTCCTGCCCCCCTCCTGCCCCTCTTTGGGCCCTGGGCTGGACGGAAAGGCCCGGCGAGTACCGCAGCCCCCCGAGCAGCGCGGAGCCGACGCGCCAAGGCCCGGGCCGGCTCGGCACCTTGGAGGCGGGTGGAGAACTCCCCCCCCCCCAGCATGGCTTCCAGAGAGGGAGGCCCCCGCCGGGGAGGCTGAGGGGGTCTCACGGGTCTCGCCCCTGACTTTCTTCTTCCTCGTCCTCTTCCTCCTCCTCCTCCTCCTCCTCCTCCTCCTCCTCCTCCTCCTCCTCCTCCTCCTCTCCGCCTCCCTCCTCTCCTCCTCCTCCTCCTCGCCTCCACCTCCTCCTCCTCCTCCTCCTCCTCCTCCTCCTCCCTCCTCCTCCCTCCTCCTCCCTCAAGCACAGGTGGCCCGTGGCGAGCGTCGTACCCATTTGGGCTCGAACTGGCCATGGGACACCCAGCTCCGCGCCTTCCCGTCGGCGCTTGAGGAGCACCAGGCAGCATCCTGTTTCTGTGACAGCTTTCCTGGTGGCCAAGCGGAGCGAACCCGATCATGTTTCGGTATTATGGTGATTTGCTGCTTTGCTGGATAGGGTTCTGTGTGACGGCGGGCGGCGTCGGTGACGTATTGGGCTACAATGCGACCATCGGCGACAACGCGTTCATAGTCACAGACCCGTGCTACAGCAAGTACGTCGGTTTGAATCCCGAACGTAGAGGTGGTGGAGTGGCTCGTTCGATAAAGGGGGCGCCATCAGCTACATCGCTCGGATCAGCAAGTGCGAGAAGGCAGGGTGTGTGCCTGCAGTCGTCAGCTACAACGCTGAACTCAGCACGTGCGAGAAGGGCGAACAACGGCAGGCGCGGTCCCCTCGGCGCATCGTCTCTTGCACTCCAGCCATGGGCTAGCGCATACACTGGTATTTCTTGTCTGGTTTATGCGCGGTCCCCTCGGAGCGCCCTCACTTTCAGTGCCGCACTGGGCGAGCGTTTCACCATACATTGTGCTACAGCTACTGGCCAGAGATTTTGGCGCCTCGCATACTGTCCTGGTGCTTCAGACTTTTGTCATAGTGTTCCTACGGTTGGCTGGGGGCGAGGCCGCCTGCGGAGGCTGCGATCTCGTATTTTTCCAGGATATGGGGTTGCCCGATGACCAATGGCTTCGGTCCATTGAATAAGGGCCGCATCGAGCAGTCTTCGTTTCGGCTTAGCCGATTTCCTATCATGGGCTCACTTATTTCATTTCGTTCCAGCGTGGTTGGTGGGAAGGAGTGAAGCTTCAGTTCTCTGGTATTCTTAGGTCTGGAGTGAGGGACTCACACGTGGTATCTGCATATTGCCGTTCCCGTACTTCTCATTTCAGCTCGTGGTCAGCGCCGGCATACCCGGGTTCCTCGACGTGTCCTACTTGGTCGTTTGGTTCGTCGGGAAGGTCTGCGTGCCGTGTTATTTCGCTTTGCGAACGCCCCATCCATCCATCCATCCTCCCTCCTCCTCCTCCTCCTCTTCCTCATCCTCCTCATCCTCGTCCTCCTCCTCATCCTCCTCCTCCTCCTCCTCATCCTCCATCTCATCATCATCATCACCATCATCATCATCATCATCACCAGCATCATCATCATCATCAGCAGCATCAGCAGCATCATCATCACGGTCATAAACGTAATCACTATCATAATGGTAACCAGCATCATCGTCATCATCAGCAGCAGCAGCATCAGCATCAGCAGCATCAGCATCATCAGCATCATCAGCTTAATCGTCATCATCAACATCAGCAGCAGCAGCATCAGCATCATCAGCATCATCAGCATCATCCTCATCAGTATCATCATCATTATCATCATCGTCATCGTCACCATCACCATCAACATCAGCAGCATCATTACCATCATCACCATCATCAGCATCGTTAGCGTCGTCGCCATCATCGACATAGTCATCGTCATCATCACCATCAACATCAGCAGCATCATCATCATCGGCATCACCATCATCGTCACCATCATCATCATCATCCGCATCACCACCATCATCATCAGCATCAGCAGCATCAGCATCATCATCAGCTTAATCGTCATCATCGTCATCATCATCGTCATCGCCGTCATCACCATCATCTTCAGCAGCAGCATTATTCGCATCATCAGCATCATCACAATCATCATCGCATTCGTCATCGTCATCGTCGTCATCACCATCATCATCATAACCATCATCGTTTTCATCGTCAGCATCATCATCAGCATCATCAGCATAATCCGCATAATCACCATGTTCATCTTTATCATCACCAGCACCATCATCATCACCATCATCTTGATCATCGCCATCAGCATCAGCATCACCATCTTCGTCATCATTAGAAACATCAGTAGAATCATCATTATATTATGCATTATCATCATCATGATCATCATCATCATCATCACCAGCATCATCTCCATCACCATCATCATCATCCGCATCATCACCGTCATCATTATCATTATCATTGTCATCGTCATCATCATCATCAGCAGCAGCAGTATCGTCATAATTATCGCCATCGGCAGTAGCCACCTCATGATCGTGATTATCATCATTAACAATACTGGGTATCGTCGTTGTCGTTTTCATTATCATCGTCCTCATTATCATCATCAGCATCATCAGCATCTTCCGCAGCATCACCATCACCACAATCATCAACATCATCATCATCATCATCATCTACATCGGCATCGTCATCACGATCAGGATCATCATCGCCATCGCCAGCAGCATCATCATCATCATCATGATCGTCATCATCCCCATGATCAGCAGCATAATCACCACCTCCAGCATCATCATCATCATCCGCATCATCATCATTAGCAGCTGCAGCATCATCAGCAGCAGCATCACCACTACCGTCATCCTCATCATCAGAACCCTCATCGTCATCCCCATCATGATAATCGCCACCATCACCAGCATCATCACCATCATCATCACCAGCATCATCATCGTCGTTCTCATCATTACCATCATCATCATCATCATCATCATCATCGCCATCGTCATCGTCATCGTCATCATCAGATTATGAATCCATCATAATACGCATCATCAGCATCAGCATCATCATCATCATCATAATCAGATTTATCGTCGTCATCATCATCCTCATCAGCAGCATCATCATCCGTAGCCATTTTTGGCTCAAGCCAGGTCTTTCCATGATCTGTCTTCGGTCGCGCGCATCTCGAGCCGCACGGGGTGGCGGCGCGAGAAGAGGGAGGAGCCCGGAGCTACGGGGGGCCGCCCGATCCGCCCATGGCGGGGCGGCCCAGCGCCCTTCGGCCCACTGAGACCACGCTGCTTGGCCCGACTGCGGCGCGGCGCCAGGCGCGGCGGCGGCGATTGCAGTCCGCTGAGGACGCGGTCCGTGGCCGGGCGTCGCGAGCCCAGCATGGCTCGCGGCGCGATCGCGAGGCAGCCGCTCGGCCGGCGCTGCGCCCCGCCGTGGCCGGGCGGCGCGTTCCCGGCAGCAGCCGCCGGCGGCGCGGCGCGGCCCTGCGCTGCGTGCCAGGCGGGTCCCCCGGGGGGGCGTTGCTGGCGCCCCGCGCGCGGCCCTGGCTTGGGCGGTTGCTGGCCCACGTCCGGCAGCGGCGCCGGGGTCGCCCGACGGGCCCACGGGGCCCTTGACCAAATCACGGCCCCGCCCGTGCCGGGCGACAGGTGCGCGCCGGCCCCAGCCGAGGCCCGGCCTGGCGCGGCGCGCCGGACAGAGGAGAGGATCCTGCCGCTGCGCGGCCTCCGCCAGCGTCCGGGGGCGGCGCCAGGGTTGCCAGACGGGCCAGGGGGCGGGAGCTCAGTGGGGCCGCCGCGGCCCCCCGCCGAGGAGCAGGGCGCCCTGCTGGCCCCGCTGCCCGAGGCGATCGCGGCGCATGGAGTCGGCGCGCGTGCCCTCCCCGATGGGCTGCAGCCGCGTCAGGTGTCATGCGGAGCCAGTTGGGCTCTCGCGGAGAGCCCCCTCCAGCTCGCGGCGGCGCTCGAGGAGGAGTTGCGGACCCTAGAGCAGCTGCGGCGGCTTGCCGATGCGAGGCCGCTCAGGGTCGCGACATTCGGCAGCGAGTAGGCGCGCGAGTTCATCGTCTCCGACCTGGCCCCGGACCCCGCCGCGCGGTCCGAGGACGAGGGCGCGCCCCCGCTGGCCATGAAGAGCTGCACCACGCCGTGTCGGACTGCACCCGGCGCAGGTCTCTGGTCGCGAAGCAGGCTCAGGACATCCGCTCGCTGCAGGAAGGCTGGGTTGCCGCGGAGCGCGCGCTGACGGCAAAGGTCGCCTCGCTGAGGAAGCACGTCGCGCGGAGCACGGGCGAGGCGGTCATCCTGGTGCCTGCGGCCGTGGGCGAGCATGACGACGACGCATCCGACGGCTCTCCCTCTCTCTCTCTCTCTCTCTCTCTCTCTCTCTCTCTCTCTCGTGGACAACCAGGCGGTGGTCGATGGGTTCCAAAGCATCATCGACGGACATCCAGCGCCACAGGGCACGCACGCGGAGCTCTGGGAAAAGATCCACCGATGTGTTATGGCCAAGCCCAACATGTTTCGCGTCGAAAAAATCGCCAGCCACCTGGGAGATCTGGGCATCGACCTTGGGCTCATCGGGCCCATCGCGGAGGAGTTCAACCGTCAGGCCGACGCCCTTGCCACAGCGGCGGCACGCGCGCACAACCTCCCCGACGACATTGTTGAAGCTGCCAAAACACGACATCGCCAAGCGACCGTGCTTCATGGGGCCGCTGTCGCTATCTACGAGCGCAGACACCGTACTCTGCCGCTCCCACACCGCAGGGCTGGGTTTACAGCAGCGGAACTCAGCAAAATGGAACCGAACCCCCTGCTGTCGGACCAGGCACCACCCGCGGCTGGACTATACATCCCGCAGAACCCGGATGAGCTCTGGGCCGAGGCCCAACGGGCGATGCTCGACGAACAGGAGGACGACCCGTTCGGCTTCGGCGGGGGATTAGACTTCCTGGACGACGGCCCAGCCAG